GAAGATGATGAGAAATATACAGACATTTACCCAACTTTTATGTGTTCCGTCTTTAAAGCATGTCTTTCACTTTTGAACGATGAACCCTCCTTACTGCTAGTGGATCTGAACATGCAAAATTTAAATTATTCCCTTTGTTCGACAGGAAACCACACGCCCCAGTGTTCATTGCTTTTGGAAGCTTTTTCTGTACATGTGAAGCTTTTTCTGTAAAAGGTAAAGCTATCTGGGTGCAATGAACGAGTCTTTTCATCTTCCAGTGAGTGTTAACTGTGTGATTAAGACAAAGGCTAAATACGGAACGCGGATGAGTTTTACAGGCGTTGTTCTCTAAACCGACAGCAATTCTACCGACGTGTTACACTCAAAGGTATATAGTCATCCAGAAAAGAATGAAACGTGGTGAAAATTGATCTCTCTCCCACGGATTTGTTATTTGAGATTACTGCACTTAACGATCATCTAAAGAATGATGAAAATCCTTCTTGTCTGAGGCTAATTTTTATAATCGAAAATTTAGCGAATAAATTTGACGCGAAATGTTTGCGTCCTCTTCGGGTCTCAAAATTCTTAAATTCCCTTGAAGAACGTTCAATTTTTTATTCAGTGATGTTGGGATTGTTTGATTATTCGGGACCTGAAAAAGTTTAACTTTCTGAGGCCAAACCATGAAAGCGCATTACGTTGTGAGTTAAGAGCGACTAATTTAACGTAAAAGAAGCACTAAACCTCTTTTCATAGAGGTAAATGACATTGTCATTATCCTCTCTATTTTGGTCTGACTGTTATCTATGTAGCTTTTCACCAGTTACACAACCTTACCTTTAACGTAAGGTAGGAGAGGCCGGAGCTGTAGCTGTGCTACAATAACATTTACCCAGGGCTGTAGCCAGATTTCAGGACAAGACGAGGCAAGTTTCGAGCGCCGAAGGCGCGAGCCGCTAGAGAGGTCTAGAGGTTCAGAAATGCTTCTTTAAGGATTTTTCGTGACATTTTTCTTCAGAAAAGTCAATTTTTAAGAAAAAAAATTAAAAAAGGCCAAAATTAAGACGAGGCAATTGCCTCGTCTTGCCTCATGCTAGCTACGGCCCTGACTTACCAGGGTTATTTTATAATCGTAAATTGTTGAGGGGGGTGGGTTGTTGTGAAAGCCGTAACTCAAAACCTCATTCGATACCCCCCCCCCCCCCCATTATCGCCAATTTTTGACGACAGGAAGGAAAATGAAAAGCGCCGTGAAAAGTATCGACAAAAACGGTAAAAATAGTAAAAGGTTGAAATTTAATCGATGTTGACGAGTGAAATCCTCAGTTTGAAATTACTTGACGTTATAAAACCCAATTTCCAAACTCACATGGAGCACAGATGTATTTACACTCAGCATTTTTCCTAATCATTATACATATATTGTATTGAATTGTTTGTCCCCTGAGCTTTCATATGATTCGGTGTCAATGGGCAGCGACTAACTTTTCCTTTCGGAGCCAGAACGGGACAAATGATGTTTGCTGTAATTCATTGGGAACAAAGTCGTAGTTCCTACATTGAGCTCTATGAATTTTTGTTCGAAATAATGGCGAATCACTATTTACCGCTGAACCACTGGCTGGCTTGAAAGACTTGAACGGATTGTCTTTTTATCAGTGCTCTACAATATCTCAAATACTTGGCTTCAGGCAATCAATAGATTGACGAATTCCCAAGTATTGTTCGCCATAATCACCTACATAACCAAAAACTAAAACTGCTTGGCTCGATCAATAAATAAATAGCTTTAAACCAGTGCTAGTAACTTGGGTAGTTATTCAGTGAGTTGCCATCTTATTGAATAAAACAAGAGTCCGGCCTTTGACAGAGTCAACTACCATCACACTTTGTAATATCAATCTTGCTTAAACAAAATTCGAACTGTAATGAGGAAAAAAGGAAATCAAATGTCTATTACCATCAAGAGCGTTACCGTGAGCCCATTTAATTTTTTTCTCTCATTTGAAGATGACGAGAATGTACAGCAATTTAAGCAACTTTCACGTGTTCCATCTTTAGCATGTGTTTTTCACTTTTGAACGTCCAACTCTCCTTACTACTGATGGATTTATATCTGCAAAAATGAAACAATTCACTTTGTTTTGCAGGAAACGACAAACTGAAAGTGTTCATTTCTTCTGAAAGGTTTGATTTCCATTAAAAGATCAATAACATCACAATTGAAGTTTCTTTCTGTACAAGGTAAGCTATCTGTGTTCGATGACTGAGTATTTTCATTTTCTAGTGGGTGTAACCTGCGTGACAAAGACAATAATTAAGTAAGGAACACGGGTTGGTTTTACGTGTGTTGTTATCTAAACCGACCACACTTCTATCCACATGTTAACCTTAACGGTATTTATCCAGATAACAATAAAACGGCGTGACAATCAGGTGTTATTTAAGAGGATTCACCGCGGCATTCTCTTGGTAATGTTAAACAATTAATATCTCTTTCATGGATCTGAAATTTGAAATAAGCGAACTGGGCGAACATTCGATAAAATTCTTCAACAACTAAGGCTACTTTTTTATGCTTGAAAACTTAGGAAATAAATTCTCAAATTCCTTGAGGGAAAGTTTGATGTTTATTCTTTTCTTGTTAGAATTTAATTGATTATTCAGAAATGTGGATTTCACTTTACAAGGCATTAAGTTGTGAGTTGAGGGGGACGGATTTATGGCAGCAAAAGCAATCAAAATGCAACCTTGACTTTGTTATTATAGTAGTCTGTTATCTCATGAGATGTTTCTACCAAAACGTGTTCCGCGGTAAGAATACCAGCGAATCTCTCCACAAGGCCAGGAAATGGCTGAGAAAGAACGGCTTCGACAAAGTTTCTCAATGGGCTACGTTCATGCTCATTGGCAATAACGTGACATTTGATTTTGGAAATTGGCCAGTGTCTAAGATACCCAAACTGTCATGAGAGAAGCAAACCCTCTCTAATAATGGAATTTATTTAATGAACCAAGTAAAACTTGCAACTGCCAATTGCCTCCCAGTAAGATGGGAACGCCATATGGAAAGGACAAGACTAATGAAGCAAAAATATTCTGTGCACACTTATAAGATATCTACCGGTGTAATAATCTGGAACAAGACAGTTCATCATTCAGTGTTTATGAGTCGGCGTTTGAGCTGTTACTGAAACTTCAAGAGCAATCCTTTCGGAAAAATGTTGACTCGCTAGTGAAAACCAACAACTTTTAAGCAAGCATTTTTCGAAAGCGATAATTCTGTTAAGCCAAACAAATTTCAAGCGGTTTTTCTCGCAGGTGATTAGTTATTCAAGAGGAGCAAATGTTAAGTTTTTTTTTAGAAGCTCTCCATTCTATCTAAAAGTGCATTAACACATGTCGAAATCACCTGCATATTCATGCTAACCAGAAACAGTTTATTAAGGTTATGAAATGTTTCTATAGTTCTTTTTGCAAGCAAATAAGTTTGAAAATCCCATTAAGGTTAACATAGCGCTCTAAACATCTCTTGTATTTATACATCATAAATTTTTTACTTGAAATTGGTTGTTCCTGGTTGCCCGAATAATCAGTTTTTCAAGAGCTAAAATATTTAATCTTTTAATGAAGAGACATGTCGACAAAAATTACTCTTGAAGACGTTTCGAGTTTGAGGAGTAGTTCATAATTTTTAATGATGTATTGCAGATATGCAGCTTAGTTTTGCAGATTTCTCTGCAACATGATTTCCGTTGGTGGCCCTCCAGTTTAGTTTGTAAAGGAAATTCGTTTTGGTAAAAATCACTTTTAAGAATCAATATTGATTTGATAGGCCAACTATTAACACGGAAACATCTTGATTTTTTTTTTTAAATAAGTCCACATGATTTTTTTCTTGAGTTGTTTACATACTTTTAATTAAAAGAAGGTTTTTTAGTCAATGTCTTCTTATTTCCTACTGAAGATTTGTATAACAGATTTCTTTTCCTTCATTAACTCATTTAGGACTTTAATCCTTTTAGTCATTCCGTCCCCCCTTGTTAGATTGTGATACAAATTGGCTGGTGTACTGGGACAAAAAAAAACCTATCGCATGGCTGTCTCTTCTAGCGGGAAAGACTACAGTTTCTGATTGGCTACCCGAGTAGGCCAAATGCAAAGTATACCATTTACATCACCCGAGCACAATTAATCATTGCTAAGTAACATGCTAGGTTTTAAAATTTCACCAAAAATGAGTGCAGTTACATAAAAATCATAAAACAAACTATACTAGCAAGATTGCAAAAACTCTCACTCCGGTTGCCACTAGCTCCACATTTTGAATTTGATTGTATCAAAATTGCCAGTTCTTTCCATTATTCTTGAAATCTCAGGATTTTCAACGTCTTCTTGGATTTCCCAGATTAGTTCCAGTCTTGTTTCGTGTATCTACTTCAAAACCAATGCGTCAAGCAACATGCAATATTGCTCAGGATCACCTGTGTAGCCAACTCAACCAGATCACTATCCAGCAAGACCGTTGGTTCCACGCAGAAATTGTTGATAATGTTAATGTATCTTGGTTAGAGGATATTCTCGGGACTATGTTACTTGGTTAACGCTTTCTCAAAATAATCTTAGAGATAATTATAATTGGAGAATTACTCAATGAGACATTACTTTCAAAGGATTTTTAACAGCGCCGTTTCCGCCAGGACCCACTCTGTGCCATTTTCTGAAGCGCACATGCATAATCTGTTCAGTTAACGAACGGTTAAAAATCGTCGTACACAGCAAGAGTGGGTAGCGACCTCTCCCTGCCCTGATGGCCAGATTGTGCGAAATTATCGACTCTGTCCTCCCATTGTTTGCACTCTTTGTAGCGGCCCCCCGACCCCTTTTACCGACAGAGCCCCTGTAGCTATCGATTATCACCTCAGGTCCCCCCTGCCCCCACACCTTTCAGCCAGCTTGTTTGGTTTCTGAACAAGTTTGAAAGAAGAAGCGCATTGATCTTTTTAAAAAGTGTCCACTTCTAAATTTGTCCTTATTTTAATTCCAATTTTTACATTTTATTACACAGATACTATCTTAATTATAAACTGACACGTGTTTAATTTCGCCTGTTTTAACTGGACTTTTCTTATCTTACTGGAATATTTTTTTAAAAAGGCTTATCCGTCATAACAATTTATAAGTTTAGTGAACTTTTATGGTGTCGTCCTTCTTCAACTGGAAAAAAGTATACACTGAGTGGGTCTAAGATTTTGAAGACTTTCAATATGTAAACACATGCCAAAACAACCATAATTCAGGTCCAATTTCAGATTAAATGGCATAGATCAAGATTTTACGATGTTGGAAACTTAGCTACATCCACGTCTTTCGTGCTAAAACACAAAAGAGAAAAAAACAACAATTTATATCATTATTCTACATTAAAATGACAGAACAAACGTGCATGTCATAAAAGGCAGACGGAGCGAAACAGTAATAAACTTTCTTTTATCTAAACTACCCAAGTAATTTCAATCATCCAACAAGCTAATTCTTATTAACTCAAGATTTTTATTCAAATATGAAAAATAAAACTTTAATGTGACATTTAGTGGCCAGGCTACCTCCATGTTTAATCTGAGACGGCCCCTAAACAGACATGACCCCTTTAAATTTTTTGTCATTTACTTCAACTTTGAGTTCGTTCTGTGAAGTTCTATTGAATTTAAGTTCAATTATATTTTACCAAAAAGGGAGTCTACATGTGTCTAAACGTATTCATCTTTTTTTTTTTTTCTCTGTCTTTTTTTCTTGTGAGGAAGTCAAATATTTCACCAGCCCTAAAGATTACTGGTTGGTTCCCTAACCATATTTTAATAGTGAATTATTGCTAATTAATTTCTTAATCCGAACAAAATGAAATAAATAACAACATCAAATGTCAATTAATCAATCGACGAATTTCAAAATATAAGACTAATCTGTTAGAAATTGTAACTGGAAAGACGATTACGAAGAAACTTGACAATGCAAACACTCGGCTAACGCAAAGATAAGGGACCATTTCCGAGTTCCATCAAACCTTACTGACTAAATGAAAAAAAAAAAGGTATAAAAGAGGTTTAATTACATGAAAACGACGGGTCATTTTCATTTCGATTGCTTCGCAATAACCCTCCTTTTATTACAGATGATTCGTAGAACTCGGGAATAGCCTGCTACATAATAGCGATAATCACTTAGTTCCACATGACCAACACTTGAACTCTTAAAAGTTTTTCATCGACTTTCCGTTTTACTATACGAAGAGAATTCTGATTTACGTATCGACGTCGGAACTCACTACTGATGAGCCATAACCCTTGTCAAAATTAGTTCAAATATTGTGCGTCAGTGTTCAGTTTTATTCATGCAGTGCGATTTTCTTGATACCAACACCACAGAAAGGAAGGTGAATACTTCAAAAACTGTGACAAGGGCTATAAAAAAGTCTAAAACTACTTTCAAACCGGTGACGATGCTCGATCAGAACTGCGACGTTTTTTTTTTTCCTCATTTAAACCAATTGAGATCATCATCGTCATCGTCATCATCATCAAATAACGGCGGTGGCACAGCACGGGGCGGTGGAGATTCCTAGAAAAAAAAAATCATAATTTATTTTCATAAATACAACAGATTTTCCCAACAACTCGACGAGCAATCGGTTATTTGTCAGTTTTGATATTTCTTGGTGGGATTGGTTCACAAAATTAGAGTAATTCATGGTCTCCAATCAAAGTAAACGCATACGAGTTCTACTGAGCTCACAAAATGATTAGTTTACCTTCTTTCTTTCACAAAATTTGTGCGTCACTCTCAACCAATGTGAACGATGAAGAACCAGACATTGGGGGCCTACCATGTTAGATTGTGACTTGAACATGTGTTTGCTTTACCGGGCTTGTACCTAAACCCTGCTAAGCTCGTGATACGTCACATGCACTTACTTACGAGCCAATCATAGCAAATCTTGTCTCCGTTCACGTGTTGGCTTCTCCTGCGCTTTTCACCTTCCCCTATTATGCTTATAACCGAGTGCCACTAGGTCTCAGCGACATCATTTGTGATTTTCTCGAACTCAGTGTCAAAATGACGACTAAGGCAAGATAAAATTTGATACCAAACGGGTATTGGACGGATGCGAGGGTATGGAGGTGGGCGGGATTGGAGCGGGGTTTTCAGTGGATTTGTGAGGATTTTCAATGTAACCAGAGTGAAACGCATGGTGGTTCAGTTGAATTCAAACACGCCATTAAAACCTACCGGCTTTTCTTCTTCCTTTTTCTTTGACAAAGATCCAAACGTAAATTCCACATCGTCATGTTCATCGTCACCAAAGAGTCTAATGAACAAAAACAAAAGAGTACATCTCTTAAAAGAAACTTTCTCAGGGTGGACCCTAAGAAACAAGATTTGCCTGGCTCAAAGTATTTGATTCTATTCTAATTTTGAATTTAGCACAAGAGTGCAGAAGGCCTCCTTGTCCTCTGCTTCTGAATATACTTGAAATTTGGAATGTTTGTTTTGGAGGAGAAGGAAAAGAGTGAAACCTCGAGAAAAAACCCTTGGAGCAAGAGCAAGAACCAACACTATACTCAACCCATATTTGACGAGAATTGAGCCCAGCCCACAACGGTGTGAGACGAGCGCTCCCAACTCTGTACCAACCTGGTTGGTGCAGGGACGCGCTGGTTTAACAGTGAGCGTGCAAGACTACGGGTTGAGACGTCAGGGTTGGAGACATAGCCGGATCATTGGGTCGTGTTCGCGGGCAAGAAACCTTACTATCACAGTGTCTCTTCACTCAGGAGAAAGGTGTCGGCGAAGAGCCTGTACCCTAAAGGAAGGACTGCTATCATATAAAATTATTTTCAATTAATCAGACTTGTACTCACGACTTAAGTTTAGCTTCACCGGGGGCTCCACTCTGTGATGTGGGCACTTGCACATCTGTCATTACGGAAGAAAAGAGTTGTCAATAAGCAAGACATGAGATCCTTATCCTTTCCTAAGCTATAGCGAGTAAGCTGTGAGTGAAGAAATAACAAGCACAACCGCAACAAAGATGAATTTGAATGAACACATGCAGTTTTATTCTTTGCCTTAAATGCGCTTAAGGTCTAACCGATTTAACCACGGGACAAAATGGAGTACGCAGCAAACAGTTGTCGACAAGATATATGCACGCAGCAATCTTGATTATGGTCGCTCCTTTAAAGATCAGAAAAGCTCAGGGTTACTTTTCCTAAACATCATCACTCGTTTGGTTATCGATACAAAAAGTTGAACAACTTCTTAGTCACTTCTACCTTGTGTCTCGTGTTCTTCTTTACGCTGCTCCCGTTTTTCTTCAGAGACGCTGAAAGGATCCTCTACGCTTTCTGACACAAAAGGCGCAATCTTTTCCGAGGTATCGGCTCTGGCGTCTTTAGCTGTCTCCGCAGAAAGTTCCTCTAAAGAAGGAACATCCAATTGATTTCCTTGAAATGAGTCCTCGGAAGAATTGTCTAAATTGTCAGTGTTTTCATTGATTTCTCTATCGTTAGAGCTTTCTAAATTACCATCAGTTGAATCTCCAACAGCTACAGAATCCACTTTTTCTTTGATTTCACCGTTGGGTGTTAAATCCTTGGTTTCTTCATTTTTCATTTCATTGGACTCTACTTCGTCTTTGCTTTGTTCAAAAACAGTTCCTTCGATTTCATCTCCCTCCTCTGTAACCGACTCATTACTTTCCTTCTCTTCATCTTTTTCATCTTCATCTACACCACCAACATCTTGGACAGTTTCCTCAGGTTTCACTTCTTCCTCCGATTTCTCTGAGTCTTCTTCTTTGCTCTCCTTTTTCGCTGTTGCTTCTCCACCCACTAGCGTCTCTTCTTCTATTCCTACTTCTTTCTCCTTTTCGTCTTCTTCTTTGTCTTCTTTTTCTTCGTTGTCTTCTTCTTCGTCTTCTTCTCCTCCTTCATCCTCTGCTTCTTCTTCATCTTCATCCTCTTCCTCCTCTTCTTCTTCACTCTCTTCCTTGTTGGAAGATTTTCCACTTACAAGTTTCATGGTCACCTCCTGTAACATAAACAAATTTGCATCATCAGTTGGGATTTTATAACATCACAGTCATTCATTCACCATGAAGTTCGCGATTCGTCCTTTGATATCTAATATCTAATGATATCTTAATATCTGACAGCTCATATTTACCCCGTTTTTCAAAATAATACCTTTTCTCTTCCTGTTTTTCGAGACTGTAAAGGAGTATCTCTTTTGGGAAACAGCTAAATATTCAAGGGACACAAACTTTGCCGGGTCTGAACGAAACAAATTCCTTGATAACTCTTATATTATTTTTCCTGAAGGGACACCATTACTCAGAGGACACTTTTTCTATTCTCAAACGTTTCCCTTGGATAGGGGTTCCACAATTGCAAGGTCGGATTTTATCTTATTATGGTGAATGTGAAAAAAAAAAAAAAAAGAAAAAGAAAAGGAATTTATCCGTATTGGACTCTAACACTGAATACCACATTATGCTGATCACATAGGAGACTGATATATTCACAGACACAAAAATGCATCGAGAAATAAAACCCAAGCAACAAATTCTCCATTACGGGCATCAGTTTCCATTTAAAAGTAATCAGTCTCTGTTTATAATTAAAGCAGCCATTTTAGGTCAAAAGAAGCTTCTATGTATCATCACGGTGTGCTTGCAGCAGGAACAATTTGACGGACTTCTACCTCGAAAGGTTGACTGGACGACGACTGATTCTCTCGCGGCTATTGACTCCCGTGTAAAAAGTGCGTTCATACCTTAATGGTTTTAAGAATTACGGCCATGACTTCCGAGCCTGTATAACTGTCGTTCGCTTCAAACTCACTTCTCAGCATATAGAACAACGTGTTCATGATACGTTTTACCTGCGTGATGCAAAAAGTAATGAATGTCACACAACGTACTACAGGATGTGTCACGCAACAAAACGCATTGCTACCATTACAATTCCCAGCAAAATTCAGCGAAGGAATTGAGGTTGTTTCGTAAACATGCCAAAACAGGCCTGTGAATTTCCAGTAAATTTGGTTTTAGACCATTTGTTTATAACGAGAGAAGACGAGCACACTGGAATGTTTGAAATTCTTACTTACTTCATCAGTCACGTTAGCAGGGGGTTTTTCCTTGCTCATAGCGCTCTCTTCTTTTCCTTCCTTTAATCCTTTACTATAGGCTTCTGAAACGGCAGATTCACGTTCCTGAAAAGGAATACAAATCAACAATGAAACTGAAAGAACTTACGCGAGGCCTTGGCGTTATGCAAATCAACACCTGATCCACCAGATGAAAAGCTTTGAATGTAATTGCCGTCAAGAATCACCTTTCTACTTAAATCTCCAAACATTTGATAAGTAACTGAATTCTACATTCTGCCTGTTACGAATGACAATTTTTTGTTTATCTAAATTCTAGTAAGCTAGACAAACCTCTTCGGCGGAAGAAAGTCGCTCTTCATATTGTTCCTTCATTTTCAGCGTTCTGGACCGAACTTCTTGGTACTGTTTAGTTGGACGAAACAAACAAAGATTTAACACAAGCCCAGTCGCAATTTCTTTTGCGTATTCAGGCGAGCCAAGGCAGAAACCTAGTTTTTTTTCTAAGTCTTCCGCTTGCATGTGGCTCGAGCTTCACGTTCGTCTCGCGCTTGACAACACCCACCACTAAATTTTTTTTTCACGTGTCCTGACGCTAGTTAATTTTATTCTTCCTACCTTGGCCTGGAGTGCAACAAGCTCTTGCTCTGATGAGCGGAGTGCTTCTATCTGCGAATCTCTGTCACCTTGAGAATCCTGAAGACGCTTGTACTGTTATTTAAAAGAAAAGGCAAACAGTTCTCTTGAGAAAATCGCGAAAAAACTTCTTTCGATCGTGTTTGCCCATTTTACGTAACACCCTGACATCCCGTAAAGTTGTTACCTTTTCATCCTAATCTTTATCTCATTTTCTTTAGGCCAGATAACTTGGAAAGGTAATGGTCATTTAAGGAGGGAAAGAGAATGTTTAAGGGAATGACAAGAAGGTAACATAGGCTATATTCAAAACTGTTTCGTAAGGCCAAATCGAAAGTTTTTCCATCTCGTTTATCTATAATTTGCAATCTATGTTCGTCTGATTCATCCGAAGCCATTATGATTCTTCCTCTGTGTAAAGTCGCCTTTTCTGTGCTTTCCTGTCTAACTATACCACCAATATGTAAACTCCTTCGAAAGTCAAAAGCAGGTTTGAATATCATTCAAAACCCAAACATCCTTACCTTTTCTCGTATTCCCACGAGATCTTCTAATTTCTCTTGGAGATCTTTGATCTTTTCTCCCTTTTTATCGTCGCCTGCTTTAAGCGTTGAAACCTTCAGAAAAATCAGGAAAACTGTCTGATAACACCAACACTATTTCATAAACTGTGTCGATTCGACAGGTAGCATCAAGATACGGAAACATGTCTGTCAACGATCATAACTGGACAAAAGTTTTAAGCTATGACTCCACAAATTCACTTTGTACCAACCAAGAAGACGAAATATTGACAATAAAACTGTTTTGAGCTCAATTTGCATGAAAAAAAGTACTGGTAAGAGCAAACAGTACTAACCTTTTCTTGAAATTCTGCCAGTTTTTTCACAGTCTCTTCCTTTTCATCAGTAACTTCTTGAAATCTCCTTTTCCATTTCTCTTCCGTCTGTGCAACCATTTTTTCTGCTTTTTCTGTCCACCTGGTTTCAAGTTCTGCTTCCGCCTGAGCGACCTGGAAAAAGGACCAGAACATTGTCTTTTCTTCCCAAGAAATCACTGTCAAGATATTGACCTGCCGACCTGCCGACCTGCCGACCTGCCGACCTGCACCTTACGTAGTAGTAATAAATTAGTGGAGGGGTTGACTTTTCTCAAATGCTTCAGCCTGTGGTTGTACCTACGTCAAAAGCAGCGATTCCGACTATCAACACACAGTGGAGAAAGGAACTAAGCTGCGATCCACTCTACTTAGAAATGCAGCACTTGCAGCGAAGCCCACGAGATTCGAGGGGTGTGGCACGTGCCACAACACTCGCGCACCCATAGCAGACCTCTCGCACGCTCGCATAACTCCTGCCTCGGCGCAAATAAGAGTATGCTCGCAGCCTTAGGCTATGGAAACGAACACTGACGACATAATCGGCCTTTGTACTACCTCAGTGATTAAATGTTGGCAACGTAAATGGATCAAAACAAGAAACAAAGAGCAAATGCTAACCTGTTGAGCTGTTACCGTTCCACTTGAGTGCTTCTCTTTTCTGTGTTTTTCCTTCAAAAATCTTAATTCCTCCTACCAGGGAGCAGAAACGCAATAGAATTGTAATTGCTGATAACAATTGGGTTTTCACCTGGAGATAAGGCTCATGTCTCTTTGCTGAGTTTCCAAAGTCAAGGCAAAAAGTGTTGCACAATAGCCATTTTTGGCTTACACAGCTGGAGGTTATACCAGTCAAATTACATAAAATGAATCGGCTAGACGTATTGCTACCACGTTTCTGAATGACAGTGTGTCGTTATTGCAAGGAGAAAATACATCTTGGCCACTCGTAAGAGATTGGAGGCGCGGTGGCATCATGGTTAGTGCGCTCGACCCCGGATTGTGTGGCTCGGGTTTGAGCCCTGGCCAGGGACATTTTGTTGTGTCCTTCAGTAAGACACTTTACTCTCACAGTGCCTCTCTTCGCCCAGGAGAATTAACTGGGTACCGACGAATTTAATGATTTGGATATCTCCCACTATGAACTAGCATTCCACCCAGTGGGGAGTGGTAAAACTCAGATGTTAAAATGATCCTGAGTAAAAGCCTGTATACTTTTTCAACTACCTCTTGTTGTGATCGTAGTTCCTCTAATTCTTCCTCGAACTTCTTCTTGTCGGCGGCATGTTTCTTTTTTCGATCTGTAAGACCCTGCAAAAGACACAAATATCAAGTAAATCACTGAACAAACAGTTGTAGCGAGGCAACAAATACATGACAACATTAAACAGCAATCAGATGTCAAGTTTTGTACCAAACACAGTTGGCCGTTCTTACCTTTTCCAAATTTTCTTTTTCGTGTTTTAAATCATTCAACTCCTCTTCGATGTGCTCCACTTTGCTTTCCAGCCTTTTCCTTGTCTGTTTTTCCTCTTTAAGAGACAGTTTCAGCTTGTCGCTCTCTTCTGCACTTTCTATGGTCACACACACACACGCACAAAAACAAAATCAAATCAAAAATCACTACTAGATTTCCTGACCTTGCAATGCAAGACAAATGAAATAGACGTGCCCGTCAGATTAAGAAGAGAGAAAAAAACCAGCTGCTTAATAAACTTATCCAGTCTGGAAAGCTTCAGACCTGTCCTTCAAATTAGCGGCATAATGACGCACATTTGGCGTTAATTGCTATGCTTACAGGTGTAAAGCATGGGCGGCCTTAGTTTGCGACAACCATAAGAGGACATTTCTCTTTTATAAACCAACCCGTGTGCGAGTCTTTAGCACGCATCAGGTCATTCCTGTATTTGTCAGTTTCTGATGTCGCCTTGCTGAGTTGGCCGCTGAGTTCTGCTTCCCTCTGACGGAGTGACGCTACTTCGTTCTGGAGGGCTGCCAAATGCGTCTTGGCTGATGTCAGCTCGCTGCTCATGGTAATCTAGGAAACGAACAACAACAAAATGATAAATAACCAACACAATCCAATTATTAAGCTACGCACTTGGAGATGATGGGCCGGTTATCAATACGAGGTTTAACCCAAACGGCGGTTTCGCGCAAGTAGTGGACCTCAGGGATCCTTTATAAGAGGTTTGATAAAATATATGCCCTCTCATTATTAGCTTTCGGCCCTCTTGACACTGTTTACAAAAGATAAACGTTCAGATAAAAGGTTCGGCTGAATTGAAGTTGGCTTAGAACGCGGTTTTGTCAAACAACGGCTAAACCCAATAAGTTGGACCTCTTCTCTAGATCACCTTCTATGATGTTTTTTTTACCCCTCTCCCCCTTCCAATGTTGTTAATTGCTCATGTTTCTATGCCATCTTGCAAACCGACATTGAGGGGGGCAGGGAAGGTAAGAATTGTCCAAAAACACTTTCCGAGATATTCTCCGCCGAACATAACAGTGCAAATTAAAGCACCATGATATCAAGTTGTTAAGGGACAAAGAGAGTTTTGGAGAATACCTTTTCTTGTTCTAGCGATAATACCCTTGCTTGTGACTGTGCTGTGTTAACCTGTAGAGAATCACTTCTTTGTTCCAACATCGTGTTGCTATGTTCAACAAACCTGAAAAATCAAGGTGACCACAATTTAAGCTAGAGTGGATAAAAATGTAAAATCAGAATGGACCCATATACATACACATGTATCTGCTAAAATATTTGTTGTACCCTCGGAATGATCACATGACCATAAAATACCTCTGACTCTTCTAAAGCAACTCTGTTATCTCTGTTGTACCCTCGGAATGATCACATGACTATAAAATACCTCTGAATCTTCTGAAGCAACTCTGATATCTTTGTTGTACCCTCGGAATGATCACATGACTATAAAATACTTCTGACTCTTCTGAAGCAACTCTGATATCATTGTTGTACCCTCGGAATGCTCTCATGACTAGAAAATACCTCTGACTCTTCTGAAGCAACTCAGATATCTTGTCATTGAGCGTCTCAATCTTCCTGGACTTTTCAGAACCTTCAGCTTTTACCTTTTCATTTTCCTAAAATCGTAGGAATGAGGTTTAATAAAATGGAAGTACCTGCATTGTGATAGTATACATGACCAATACATACAAATAGGTTCCGATGGTAAAACGTGGTTTTCCGATGGACTTTGCAAAATCTTCCAACGGAATTAAGATGACCGGAGGTCGTTACGGGAAAGAGTACCGGAAGTCAGACGAACATCAAGAAGGGAACAAAATTTAACGCTGTCCAATGGACTCCATCATAATCCATTTGTCGGATGGTATTCGATGAGGTCCATCAGAATACATTTAAATTACCAGAAGTCTAGTGGTGACATAAAACAGAATCTCCTAACTCAGACAAGAGCAGTAAACGTGAAATATGCCTATTTCGTAGAGCCATGAAGTGAAACGGCTCATCTCAAGCGCGGAACGGACCAAAACCGTCCTTACCACAACTCCCCTTAAAGGAGATGATCGATAGGAAAGTCCCCCCACCCTATGTTGTTCTGTGATTGGCCAGCTCTCTGAAGGACAAGATATGTGACAAGTCCCTCCTCAGCATATGAATAACTCTGTTCTCCAATAAAGCGAGAAACTACTGGGAAACTAGCAACTTAAATGAAAATCATACTTACTACGTGATGCATTGAATAGTGATGCGAAAAAGCAACAGAGACAAAACTGCACATTTGATCAAGTTAGTATTACCTGCACAATTCTGGTAATGTTGTGAACTAAAACAGCAGCTTCCATTGCCGCTTGTGGATTACCAAATGCACCGATTCCCATCTGTCCAACCTGAGTGAGCTGTCCACCAAGCTGTCCTGTATTCTGTTGATGACGCTCAACCTGTGAAAAAATCGCCCTGAATATAACATCTCATAGCTGTGTTTGATCACGTAGGGAGTCATAAAAAAATCGTTAAAAAAATATTTCGGTAAAATGGAACTCAAAGCTCATGTGTAGTAGGAGTGTACTGGTTTTACTTTCAACGAATCTCTTTGCAGGATGCAAGTACTGAATATTTGACTTCAGGGTATGATGCTCGAAATAAAACTAGGAATTGCCACATTCACAGTTCCTGCATCGCAGTGCTGCAATACCAACCTGCTTATTTCAAAAGGGGAAAAAATATACGAAGCGAGATACTGATTGGAAAACGAACAATAATTTCATAGCTTCTACTGTCACAGCGTTTAAATTTGCCCCACATAAGTAGAAAAAGGCATTACTAAGAAACTAGAGCTTTCTAATAAATTATCCATTAATTTTCGACAAAGGCAGACTCAGGAATAGCATGATAAAGTAATACCGATGGTCAAGGTGGCTCACCTTGTTCGAAAGCTCGTCAATCTTGTCTGATAGCTTGCCGATAGACATGCGTATTTCGCCTTGCTGCTGTCGTGTCTCTGCCATAAGCACTGGAACCATTGCGTCATTAGCTGTAGGCTGCGGTGGAGGGGGTGGGGGTGGGGCTGAATATGGTGCAGTGATCATCTGTGGCTGCGGTCCCATCATGGGATACCCCATGCTGGCTGGAGGCTATACAATAAAACCAGAACAGCAGTTCAGCTGATCTGTCATCAGCTACCTCTCTGGTAAGCTAATTAGCTCTTTCAAGTTTGGTCTTTGTCCTTCCCGTGGAATTACTTTGGCAAACCACGGTTAGTTATCAAGCCTAGAGCTGTACCTTTCTGAAACACGGCAGACAAAGAATGACTTCTTTTAATAGTAACTTATAGAATAAAATCCTCCTTTCCAAAACGGCGGCTCAAAATCTCACATTTTGCACCCACAAGGCAAAGAAGTGATTGCACATAATTCAAACGAAATTGTTTGCAGCGATTTCTCTCACGTTCGTCCAAAGTTAACGTCTCAGAAGCTCAAAATGTTTTACAAAACATAACCTAAAACCTTTTTTTATATTTCATACTAACGTATAACTTGTTTCAAATTTAGCATAATTATGTCTTAAAGCATGGTCACTGCGGCAAGGTACACCTTTACACACTTCAATTTAAAAACACAGAACAAAATGGACAGTCACTCTTACTCAATTAAGTTTCCTTGAGGCAAGAAAAAAACGGCACTCAAAAAAAGAAACTGTTGGACTTTGCTGACTCCATGGGAATCTTAAACATAAACTTTCACTTTATATTGAAGGTCCACCAAACCTATTCTAAAACTCAAATAAAAGCAACACTTTCGTAACGTAAAATCTGGTTGCTATGTACAATTTATTTGACTTAAACAACAACAAACATATGAAACATATGTATGAACTGCGGTTATGAAACGTATATGTGCACGATCCTTCGCAGTAAAGCACTATTTGAGCAACAGTGAAAATCAGACCTGAAAAAAATCTCAGGCCTGTACGGGATTCGAACCACTGACCTCTGCGATACTAGTGCAGCGCTCTACCAATTGAGCTAACAAGCCAACTGGGAGCAGGCCATCAAATTAATTCGACATAAACCCGTAGATGATAAATCAAACAACAACAAACATATGAAACATATGTGTGAACTGCGGTTATGAGACGTATATGAGCACGATCCTTCGCAGTAAAGCACTATTTGAGCAATAGTGAAAATCAGACCTGAAAAAAATTTCAGGCCTGTACGGGATTCGAACCACTGACCTCTGCGATACTAGTGCAGCGCTCTACCAATTGAGNACATATGTTTCATATGTTTGTTGTTGTTTGATTTATCATCTACGGGTTTATGTCGAATTAATTTGATGGCCTGCTCCCAGTTGGCTTGTTAGCTCAATTGGTAGAGCGCTGCACTAGTATCGCAGAGGTCAGTGGTTCGAATCCCGTACAGGCCTGAAATTTTTTTCAGGTCTGATTTTCACTATTGCTCAAATAGTGCTTTACTGCGAAGGATCGTGCACATATACGTTTCATAACCGCAGTTCATACATATGTTTCATATGTTTGTTGTTGTTTGATTTATCATCTACGGGTTTATGTCGAATTAATTTGATGGCCTGCTCCCAGTTGGCTTGTTAGCTCAATTGGTAGAGCGCTGCACTAGTATCGCAGAGGTCAGTGGTTCGAATCCCGTACAGGCCTGAAATTTTTTTCAGGTCTGATTTTCACTATTGCTCAAATAGTGCTTTACTGCGAAGGATCGTGCACATATACGTTATTTAACTTAGTTGAAATTTAAAAACGATCTCTGGCTAAAATGATTAAAAACTACGAGCTTTCGACTGCCCGAACTGCAGTCTTCATCGGGTAAAATGAATGATAAGAAAGCGATGAGAAAACTGTTTCATCCAGGCTGCAGCCCTTCATTATTTGACTTAATTAAAACCCACCTGATACAAAGCAACTTGCTGTTGTGGTGTGAAAGCTGGCTGCATCATTGGTTGTGGGTTCATGGCAGTCTGCTGGTATGGTTGTGCAGGAGGTGCTGGATTATGAACTGGCTGATGGACCTCAGGGTGAACTTGGGGTGCTGGTCGTGGAGGAAGAAGGGGTTTGGAGCGCACACTAGGATGAGGGTTAGAGCTAAAGGGTGGAGGGCTTGTTGCATTCACATCTGTTGCTTCTGGTGCACTTGCTTCAGCATGAGTTGGAATCTCCTATCAAGTCAATTTCAGACACAATCAACACTATACGTATTTCATTAACTTAGTGAAAGGCGGAGGGGGGTCAGTTACAAAAAAAAAATTGAGTCTACATTGAGAAGAACTCATTGTAGGCTGAAAATTTATTTATGGTCATGCGCTGTGCTTCAGAGGCAGTTAAAAATTCTAATCAAAGTACTATGTTTGCATTCTCTTCTGAGATTTTTTTTCTACTTTTGTAGGTAAAAGGCAACATGTTACATTTGTTCATTCAAAAAATAATTAATGTGCAGGTGCATGCATATGACTTTGATAATTACTATTTTTAGAGATTGTGTTACTTACCTGCTCCTGCTCTCCCAGTTCGTCATTTTCAGGTTCGGCAGCCACAGCTCCAGGAAGGAATAATGGATTTTTTCCCATCTTGGACATCCTGGCAAGTAATCGAGCTTTATCTGTGTTTTTCCCTGGAGACTACACAACAGAGAAACAGACTGAATCTAGCAAAAGGCACACTAGTCATGAATCTCAATATACTGCTGGATAGTATTGATTGGTAAATTCTATTATCCCAGTGACATAGGAGGACAGTAACCTCTTTGTCAAGATGTCACCAAGGAAACTGAGCTACAGTCCCCTTCCAAGCACCTGTCAAGACATCACTGTCACACTTGTAAAATGTGGAATTCACTCTTTCACAAAATTAGGAAGGGGGAAGGGAAATGCAACATGCTTTACATGTTTATGTTGTAGCAGAAAAAAATTAGACAAAAGCACATAGCAATACCCTGCAAACTTCCCGAGAGCCCTCCTCCCCCCCCCACAAACTTATGGATGAAACCAATTATGTCAACTACTTGCTCCAAAATTCAACATTTGCCTACAGTGTAATAGACTCTCAAAACAACAAAAAACTAGCATGGTCAGTGGCATTCAAAGTCTCCAAAAAAATTTATATCAACAGTGTATTTCCTGACCTGCGAAAGCTGTTCTGTGATTGAAGCAGTTCTACCTTTAATTCCAGAGTCTCCTGGGGAACTTAAAATTACAAGTAGGTCTGTTTAGTCAAAGTTAATTATAGTGGCTATGAGGGCTTTGTCATAAAACTGACACACCTTTGAATAGGGTAATTATTAAAGCCAAATAACCCTTGCTCATAAGAGGATTGCCATAGCAAAAACCTTCTTGAGATCTATCAATCCGAGAAACACTTTTTTTAAAGATCTATGTGCCTGTGTGGTGTGCACAATATAAGGCAGTGAAGTGATTCAGAAATGAAATGAAGTGATTCTTACAGAGCTACTGGTGTAATGCCACATCAGCTTACTCAATAACATGTCAAGCTCTTTATTTCCATGGAGAGATAAATACACAGCACACTAATTTTATTTTGTGTTACCTTAGCGATGAGACAGAATCTGACTTTCTTGTTGTACCAGAAGGCTCAGACAGGATGTCAGGCAGTTGATCAGTATTTTGTGAAGGAGAAGGTTCATGAACTGTCACTGGGGATTCATTTGACTCTCTGCTGGACTTAATCTGTTGACAAATATTCTTCATTGGTACATAAAAGTCAACAGCAATATGTCTTGTTTTTTCATGAAAAAACAAAAAAATCAAAACAAGACAGAAATTACATGCAGAGGTATTTCTCCTTTGCTAGATATTATTCTACATAATTGTTTTTGTCATTATTACTATTATTGCTATTATTACTAATATTATCATTATTGTTCTCATGATTACTACTTTCATTGCCAATGAGTGTCTTGATGTAAATGTAGGGATGTTGCCAACTTGGAAGTACAGTCCAACCTGTACTATGTGGTCACACACCGGAATATCAGGGTGACTCCCTTAATGCAGGTTGACTGCTAATACAGGTTCCACAGAATAGGGGTATTAAAATAAAAAATAAAAAATAAAAAAAAAACATGAAAAACACCATTGCACACCTAACATTGATCTTGGGAGAGAAACATGGAAAACATGGATTAAAAGTTACTTGTAGAAGATTATTTTAGCTGTATCTGTGTGGTTCCATTTAAAGTGACTGTTCAATACGGATTTAGAAAAGGGTGAACATGACCACTTGAGGGAGGCAACTGCTTAACAGTAACAAAGGGGAAGCAAATTTGAGACTTTGACAACTGACTGGTTAATACACTTAATATGATGCCCCTTAATCCAGACTGGACTGTCACTTATACTTACCCTTAAAACCTCTACTTCAAACAATAGAGAGGAGTTGGGAGGCACTCTGGAAGGTACACCCTGCAAAGAAACACACAGCAAATTCTTGTAGTTTAATTTATTAGATTTGCTGACAGGCAGGGACACTGCAACAGTTTGCGCCAATTACAGCAGGCCCAGTAAACCCACCCATACCACCCCAGGGGAGGACATCCATCACACAGTTATCTCGTGTGTGGGAAATTAATATCTCCTGCCCCCCACCCTGCAGGAGACAGGACCTCCATTTATTTGGCCCTATCCAAGAAGACTAGAATATCTAACCATTTCTTGATTTTATAGAAAGGTAGCAAATTCTTCACAATTATTTTAAGACCTTGAGTGTTGGTCCGGCCAGGGCTTGAACCCTTGACCTCCCACACAACAGTCCAGAGCACTATCCATTGGGCTAACTTGTGCTTGTATCAACATTAGAGAGAATCCAAATCACCAGAATGAGTGGCTGTGAATTTACCCCTTTCACTCCCAAGGTCTGATTGCTACAGTAATTCTTCCCACTAGCTGCTAAACATTTCCTTATTTAAATTAATTACAAGAATTTGGTTTTAGATCAAGACAGCAACTTCTACCTGATCAGTTTGAGTATTTGCATCACCTGCTTGCCCCATGATGTATGGATGTTAATGGAAGAAGTTACATGTTAATCAATTCTGTGGAGTTATAACAAGTCCACAGGTGCTTTCATGGCAGCTTGGTGCAGAGGAGTCAGCATGGTCAAGTGATGAGAGGGACAAACTCGCATGTAAATAGCCAACTGATTTGCCTCCTTCCAGTTGAGGTTTTTAATCATGTTACAATTCATTCAAATTCTTTGCTTGAGATTACTCAGTGCTCTTTATCATTTCCTTTGCTCAATACCTATTGCCTATTTTTAATATTAATTTTAAATTAATTATTTTTTAAGATAAATTCAACCTGGCTGAAGGAGTTCATGAAAAGGCTGCTAGCCATGGAAGCTGTCACCGACAAGAAAATGGTGGCCAGTACTGGAACTAAACCTCCTCTTCACAGCACTTTCGAAAATAATATCGTACATAAACCAATAAAACTTATAACAGAAATCTTTCTAACCTCCTCCAGAAAAGAAATTAATATGAATTCTTGAAAGGTTAAAATTCAGTAGGGGGTAAGATAACCGAGTTTGACAAGGTGTAGGAAACCAGCTTTGTATACAATTGTAAGAGGTGGAGAGAAACCAGGGGTCTGTGAATTTCACATTCCCTTGTAGATTTAAAATGTTTAAATTAAGATCTAACCTTTTCTCCATAAGCCAGAGTAGAAGGAATGGCAATCAACCTCTTTCCACCTTTTTTCATTCCTATCACTCCCTGTTCCCATCCCTATAAAGAAATTGAAAATGTTACATTACAATTCAAAAATACTATGTCTTTACCATGACAAAGAAAATGAACATGGAAAGACGGTTTACTAAATATTTCCTGGACTATCAAACAATAATTTAAAAGTATTCAGTTTAAGAAAAGATCAAAAAAAAAAAAAAAGAAAGGAAGAAAGAGAGATTAAACAGAAAAGGCAAACAGATGAGAACAAAAACACAGATGAACATCTGGATGAAAGGCATCCAAGCAGAAAAACTGAATGGCAGAAGAAAAGTAACTTTAATAAATGGTCTCTGCACCTTGATGACTTTCCCTTTCCCTGTTTTGAATTTGAATGTTTTATCTGTCTCAGTGT